GCCAAAAATGTCAATAATTAGTAATTTAACCCGGATGTGCCACGCCCACTTCAATTTTTTTTGCATAAGTTAATTGATATTCAGAATGTTATGTTATGTTCGAAATGTAAAGCTCCTACATAATATAGGTCAAAAGATATAGGTCAACAAACGTCAACAAAGGTCAAAATCGAAAAATGAAAAAATCCAACTGTTAAAACCCGTTCCTTTTTTGGAACTATAAGGCTGAAACAACTGAGCTGTTAACACAAACTGGCCAAAAGGATGAGGTAATTGTGTGCAAAGTCCCTTTTTGAACAAACGCATCCTATGCGAGTTATGCCCCTGCCTCTAAATGTAAACAATTAGTAATTCAACCCGGATGTGCCACGCCCACATAAGTTTTTTTGTCATAGGTGAATTCATATTCAAAGTGTCTAGTTGTATTCCAAATATCAAGGTTCTACATCAAATAGATCATAAGATATACATATACCAAGCTCAAAAAGACGCAAATATTGTAAAAAAAAACTCAAATTTGAAAAAATCACGAATTTCAATTGCACAGAGTGGGGCTTTGCAAATGTTGCAAAATGCAAAAGACCCTGAAAAAATCAACCTTCGACGATAATTAGATCAAGCGCAAGAACGGTGTAAAGTTGATAAATATTCATTTTTTAGAAGATTCTAATATCGGAAGTGGACGTCAGACCTCACAAATGAAAGTGTCAGCAGATAGCCAAGGTCAATGACCTTTGATCCTGTAAAGGAGAAGGTCTAAAAAGGTCAAGATCAAGAGATATACGCCATTAAAATTTCAAATTGCTAACAACTATAAAACCGGAAGTTGACATAGGACAGCAAATATAAAAGTATAAATAGATAGACAATGCCAATGACGTTTGATCCTACAAAGGTCAAGGTCAACAAAGGTCAAGGTCAAAAATTGAAAATTTTCAATTTCCAAAACCTGTTCCTTTTTTTGAACTAAGAAGCGGAAACAAAGGAAATTCTAAGAGAAAGTGGCTCACAATATGAGGTAATTGTATGCAAAGTTCCATTTTGAACAAATGTATACTTTGCGAGTTATGTCCCTGGCCAAAAATGTCAATAATGAGTAATTAAACCCGGAAGTGCCACGCCCAACTCAATTTTTTTTGAATAAGTCAATCAATATTCAAAATGTTACGTTATGTTCCAAATGTCAAGTTCCTACATAATAGAGGTCAAAAGATATAGGTCAACAAAAGTCAACAAAGGTCAAAATCGAAAAATGAAAAAAACCAAATGTTAAAACCCGTTCCTTTTTTGGAACTATAAGGCTGAAACAACTGAGCTGTTAACACAAACTGGCCAAAAGGATGAGGTAATTGTGTGCAAAGTCCCTTTTTGAACAAACGCATCCTATGCGAGTTATGCCCCTGCCTCTAAAGGTAAACAATTAGTAATTCAACCCGGATGTGCCACGCCCACATAAGTTTTTTTGTCATAGGTGAATTCATATTCAAAGTGTCTAGTTGTATTCCAAATATCAAGGTTCTACATCAAATAGATCATAAGATATACATATACCAAGCTCAAAAAGATGCAAATATTGTAAAACAAAACTCAAATTTGAAAAAATCACAAATTTCAATTTTGCTTTAAAAAAGCAATTGTTCTATATCTATGTTAAGTGCATGAAAAGCACATTAGGAAAC